TAAAACATATAAGGAACGGTTGCTGGAATTGGGGATGTCTAGTTTAATGAAGAGAAGGACGAGGGGGGACATGATAGCAGTCTTCCAGTATCTCAAGGGCTGCCCCAAAGAAGAGGGAGTCAAGCTATTCTCCTAAGCGCCTGAAGGCAGGGCAAGAAGCAACGGATGGAAACTCATCAAGGAGAGAAGCAACCTGGAACTAAAGAGAAACTTCCTGACAGTGAGAACAATTAACCAGTGGAACAACCTGCCTCCAGAAGCGGTGAATGTGCCAACACTGGAAGTTTTTAAGAAGAGACTGGACAGCCATTTGTCCGAAATGGTATATAGGGTTTCCTGCCTGAGCAGGGGGTTGGACTAGATGTCCTCCAAGGTCCCTTCCAACTTTGTTATTATCATCATCATCATCATCACAGAAAGCAGTCTGTGATAAACGAATAACAGCTGGAAGGGACCTCGGAGGTCTTCTAGCACAAAGCCCCCCCCCCTGCTCCGGCAGGAGACCCTGTACAGGTAGTCCTCGGCTTACAACAGATCATTTAGTGACCGTTCAAAGTTACAAAACTCAAAAAAGGGACTTATGACCGTTTTTCACACCACTGTTGCAGCCTCCCCACGGTCATGTGATCAAAATTCAGACACTTGGAAACTGTCTCGTACCTATGACGGTTGCAGTGTCCTGGGGTCAGGTGATCTCCTTTTGCGACCTCCTGACAAGCAAAGTCAGATTCGCTTAACAACCGCTGAACTGAACAGCTGTAGTGATTCATTTAACAACTGTGGCAAGGGAGGTCGTAAAATGGGGGGGAAACTCACTTAACAAATGTCCCACTTAGCAACGTAAGTTTGGGGCTCAGTTGTGGTCATAACTGGAGGACCACCTGTACTATTTCAGATAAACAACCGAGATGGACAAAGGGTGCTTCACACACCACCTTGGCTGCAACTGGTGGCTCAGAATGTTTCCGGAATGGGATGTTGGAAGACTAGGATGGCAGGTTAAATGTTGGTTTGGGCTGCTTCGAGTGTCGTGTGATTGTGCTCGTTGTTACACAGGCAGTCCTCGCCTTAACAACCGTTCGTTTAAGGACCATTCAGAGTTCTATCTGCTCTGGGAAAAAATGGCTTACGACCGTCGTAGCGTCCTCACGGTCGCGCGATCAAAATTCGGAAATATTTATAGGTGGCTCTTGACTTAACAACTATTCATTTAGTGACAGTTCTAGGTTACAACAGCACTGGAGAAAGCATCTTAGGGCCACTTTCCACATTTAACGACCGTCGTAGCATTCTCATCGTCACGTGATCAGAATTTGGATGCTTGGCAACCGGCTCCCATTTATGACGGTCGCAGCGTACCGGGCTCCCCTGATCCCCTTTTGCGAGTTTCTGACCGGCAAACTCAACGGGGCACCCAGATTGACTTCACAACCATGTTAACAACTTAACCGCAGTGATTCACTTAACAACCGCGGCAAAAAGGTCACAAAATGGGCCCAAACTCACTTAATGACTGCCACACTAAGCCGTGGAAATTTTAGGCTTGGTTTTGGTCGTTAAGAGGGCAGGACTCAGCGTTGGTTTTCACCCTAATTGGAAATAGTTGATTGCAGGCACCAACTTTTATTTATGTTGTACCATTGACTGCCCCAACTCCGTGGCCTGTGTGTGTGTGTTTCCATTTGTGGTTGTGTTGTGTATGGATCAGAGAGTTTGCGTGTGTCACGTTCACGGTTAGAGGGCTCAGAATATTTTTTGGGTGGCGTTACGTTAGAAACTCTCTTTAATAGGTGCTTTTGGGTACCCCAGCAAAGCAGGATTTAAGGCAGGGGTCTTCAAATTTGGCCCCTTGAAGACTTGTGGACTTCAACTCCCAGAATCCCTCAGTCAAAGCATGCTATAATTTTTTACGACCCTTGTAATTGTCTGATTCAGTCTTCGTGAATGTGCAGTTTGTGGTTTTGGAGTGCGTCTGTATTAATGAAGCAGACTGATTTGATTGCAGCATTATATAATTTACAAATTAAAAATGTCATCTGGCAGTAGAACGTGGCGGGGTCAGGTGATTCTCTGTATCTTGCTAGAAAAAAATAAGTCTGGTTTTGCCGCAAGTATTATTCTCTGGCAATTTTGAGAGAGAAAAACCTTAAATGAACGCCATCGAATATTTTTCTGTGTAGTGATGGTAAGGAGGAAGAGCTTACAAAAATAACACGGGGGTTTATCTAGACCAGATAAATGTCGATAAATCAGCCAAGATTAGAATGAGAAATAAAACACATTTATTTCATTTTCTGCCTATTTTACTTGAATGCTTTATGTCTATAGTTTGAAGGTGCTTCTAACACAAATAAAGAAAAGAATTCATTTAGCAACCGAATTTACTGGCAAGGAGATCCGACCGGCATTCAAATTTCCTTTTATGCAGTTTACAAATTTTGTTTCAATCTAGAGCGAGTGCATCACCTGCCTTTGGGCCCAAATCAGGACTAGAACCGTTCATTCCCTGGTTCCTAGCCTGAGGCCTCAACCGGTACACCAAAAACTGGCTCTCCTGGTTAGCAAACGGTAGTTTTTAATATAGGGGAAAAGGGAATATTATAGCAACAAACCTTCGCCCCATTTGTGAATTTAAGGGTATTCTGGGATGGGATGAAATGGAATAGAATATAGAATAGAATAGAATTCAGAATAGAATAGAGAATAGAATTCAGAAAGAATGGAATATAATAGAAATACAGAATAGAATAGAAATATAGAATAAAATATAGAATAGAATTCAGAATGAATGGAATAAAATATAGAATAGAACAGAATAGAATTCAGAATAGAAATATAGAATAGAATATAGAATAGAATTCAGAATGAATGGAATAGAATATAGAATAGAACAGAATAGAATTCAGAATAGAAATACAGAATAGAATAGAATATAGAATAGAATTCAGAATGAATAGAATAGAGAATAGAACAGAATAGAATAGAGAATAGAGAATAGAATTCAGAAAGAATAGAATAGAAAAGAAATACAGAATAGAATAGAAATATAGAATAGAACAGAATTCAGAATGAATGGAATAGAATAGAATATAGAATAGAACAGAAGAGAATAGAGAATAGAATTCAGAAAGAATATAATAATAATATAATAATAATAAAGTTGGAAGGGACCTTGGAGGTCTTCTAGTCTACCCCCCGCTCAATCAGGAGACCCTGTGCCATTTCAGACAAATGACTGTCTAGCCTCTTCTAAAAAAAACCTCCAGTGTTGGAGTACCCCCATTGTCTGGTGGGAAGCTGTTCCACTGGGTAATTGTCCTCACTGTTAAGAAGTACAAGTTCCTAATTCAGTATCAATTAAACAACTAGCGGTTAAGGCTCCAGACTAGAAAGCCGGAGATTGCGAGTTCTAGTCCTGCCTTAGGAATGAAAAAAGTGGGTGATGGCCATTTTTCACACTTAGCTTTACATTCTCCTTCCTGTCTTGGATGCCAAGAATTGGGCCCCTTCCCCCACCCCACCGGAAGCACCCAGATGCCACTGAGAGAACAGGGATTATAGGTGGTCTTCAACTTAACGACCGTTCGTTTAATGACCGTGTAAAGTTGCAACGGCACTGAAAAAGGTGACTTACGATTATTTTTCGCACTTACAACTGTTGCAGCTTCCCCGCAGACACGCAGTCAAACTTCAGACGCTTGGTGACGCTTGATTCATATTTATGACGGTCGCAGCATCCCTGGGGGGGGTCACGCGATCCCCTTTTGCGCCTTTCTCACAAGCAAAGTCAATAGGGAAGCCAGATTCATTTAATGACCATGTTACTGATTTAACAAAGGCGGTCACTAAATGAACTGTTGTAAGTTGAAGGCTGCCGGTACAGGTAGTCCTCAACTTACGACCGCCACCAAGCCCAAAATTTCTGTTGTTAAGTGAGACATTTCTTAAGTGACATTTTAGGAGTTTTCTTGTCACTTAAAAAATGTCTCACTTAACAACAGAAGTTTTGGGCTTGGTGGTGGTCGTAAGTTGAGGACTACCTGAGCCGGCAGCCTTCAACTTACAACAGTTCATTTAGTGACCGTTTGAAATTACAGCTGCACTGAAGACGGCGATTTATGGACTTTCCCACGGTTAAAACTCTTGCGGCGTCCCCAAGGTCACATGATCCAAATCTGGATACTTGGAAACTGGCATGTACTTAGGACAGTTGCAGAGTCACTGAACAGCTGCAGTGATTCACTTAACAGCCGCAGCAGGAAGAAAGGTCGTAAAGCAGAGCCAAACTCAGACCGCGTCTCACTTGGCAACCAAAATTTGAGCCCAGTCGCGGTCGTAACCCGCCGTCTACCGCGGGCATCGGAACTTTGAATCCGGATCACTGGTGCTTTTTTTTTTTTTTTTTGGTCTGTCGTAACTGAGCAACCGGTCGTAAGCCGAGGACTGCCGGTGCTGAAGTGCAGAGACCCAACAAAATCATAAATACAGATAGTCCTCCAATTATGACCGCAACTGAGCCCAACATGTCTGTCGCTAAGTGAAACATTTGTCAAGCAAGCTTTGCCCTGCTTTACGACCTTTCTTGCCGCAGTTGTTAAGTGAATCACTGCCGTTGTTAAGTGAATCTGGCTTCCCCGTTGCCAGAAGGTCGCACAAGGGGATCACCTGACCCTCCAGGAAGGCTGCGACCGTCGTAAATAGGAGCCGGTGGCCGAGCGTCTGAATTTTGACCACGTGACCACGGGGATCCTGCAACGGTCGTAAGTGTGAAACCAGCCCTAAGTCGCTTTCTTCAGTGCTGTCGTAACTTCAAACGGTCACTAAACGTCGTAAGCTGTAAGTCGACGTGTAAATCTTTCCGATCACGCCCGTCTTTGATCTCGGGCTTGCAAGGAGCCCGTCAGGCTGTCCCTGGGGGACCCCGTGAGTCTCCCCTGACCCCTGTCTTCCCTTGCAGTGCGCAGAGGACTCCGGAGCCCATGTGCTGACCGCCGCCTGCCATGCTGGCCTGCCTCCCAGGACCCGGCGACCTCTCCTTCCAGCTGCTTCCTTACCCGCAGATGAACACTGGGCTTCAGAAATGTGAGTTTCGGCCGGCCGCTTGACCGCACGCCCAAGGGATGGGCGGGGGGGGCGGGGGAGGAGGAACTAAACCCGGGTGGTCAAGGGCAGAACCAGCACTCCAGCGGGTCTCTGGCGGACTTTGGGGGGGGTGTTGGCTTGGATCCCCAAAAGCGATCCAAGAAGGGGTTCAGGTTGCCAAACGAGGCCTCGGATCAGCATTCCTCCACCTCGGCTCGGTGAAGACGGCTGGACTTCAATGCCCAGAATCCCCCAGCCTAGCAGGAAATGAGGAAGCCAGCCAGCTGGAGCATTGTGGGCGTTGACGTCCGCCCGTCTCCAAGTGGCCAAAGAAACACGGATTTATTTAACATCTGTATGTGGCCACGAGTCTGGTTGGAGCGGGTGGGTGGGGGTTTACCCAGAATCCCCCAGCCTAGCAGGAAATGAGGAAGCCAGCCAGCTGGAGCATTGTGGGAGTTGAAGTCCGCCCGTCTCCAAGTGGCCAAAGAAACACGGATTTATTTAACATCTGTATGAGGCCACGAGTCCGGTTGGGGCGGGGCGGTGGGGGTTAAATAGAATGAGCCCTCAGTTCAAATAGCTGTGCTGGCTGGGGAATTCTGGGAGTTGAAGTCCACCCGTCTTCAAGCTGCCACGATGGAGAAACCCGGCGTCAGAGACCCTCCGTGGTCCTGACGTCCCTCCCAATCTTCTCCCATTTTATTTTATTTTATTTTATTTTATTTTTTAACATGCCGGTGGCTAAGCGTCACGAGGAGGGGAGGGTGAGCCAGACTGCTGCTCTCACCAGGACATCCCTGGGAGGCTACGCGTAGGAGAGGCTGCCCACCACATCTGCTGGACCCCCTTCCCTGGTCTGGGCCCGTTTCCTTTCCTTGCCACCTGTGCTGGGATGGGTTACAGGTAGTCCTCCACTTACGACCAGAATTTCTGCGGTGAGACGTCGGTTAGGTGGGGTTTCGCCCCATTCTGTGACCTTTCTTTCCATAGTTACTAAGTGAATCACTGCGGTTGATAAGTCAGTAAGTGGCTTCCCCCATTGACTTTGCTTGTCAGAAGGTCATAAAAGGGGGTCAATGTGACCCCGGGACACTGCGACCATCATAAACAGGAGTCAGTTGCCGAGCATCTGAATTTTGATCGCGTGACCGTGCGTGCGGATGCTGCTACAACGGTCACAAGTGTGAAAAACGGTCGTAAGTTGCCTTTTTTTTAGTGCCGTCGTAACTTCAAACGGTCACTAAATGAACGGCTGTGAGTCAAGGGCCGCCTAAAAATGTTTCGGTTTGTGCCCGTCTCGGGACGCTGCGCAGGTCACAACTGTGAAAAACAGCTATAAGTCGTATTTTTCAGTGCCGTTGTAACTAGGAACGGTCACTAAACGGGCTGTTGTAAGTCGAGAACTACCCTGTATTTTGATCTCCCCTTTATATAGCCAATATTTGGTTAGTCCAGATGCAGCTCCCAGCCCCCCTTGTCTGCTAGTGAGGGAGGCTGCCCTGGGCCCTCTGCTTCTCCCCACAGCAGCCCAGATGTGGGGAAGGAACTTTTTGGGGGGGCTAAAAAAGTCCAGCAAAGAGTTGGTTTTTCCTTGTATTTGATTGGCCTGAGCTCTAGGGCCCCCAGGCCATCCCCAGTGTGACTTGGGGGTGACATCTGGGCCTGGGCTGTGGCTTCTCAATCTGGAGACAGCCTCGTGCCCCATAGAGACCCCCCCTAAACCAAGATTTAACCCCCACAGGGCACCCTAGGCAGAGAGTAAAATCTGGCTACAAATAATCCTTGACTTACAACCATAACTGAGCCCAAAATATCTGTGGCTGGACAGGACAGTCATTAAGTGAGTTTTGCCCCATTTTATGACTTTTCTGGCCACCGTCGTTAAGGGAATCCCTGCAGCTGTCAAGCTAGCAACCCGGTTGTTAAGTGAATCTGGCTTCTCCCCATTGGCTTTGCTTGTCAGAAGGTCGCAAAAGGGGATCCCGTGATCCCCCCTGGGGGGACGCTGCGACCGTCATAAATACGAGCCCGTTGCCAAATGTCCAAATTTTGATCACGTGAGCATGAGGATGCTGCAATGGTCATGAGTGTGAAAAATGACCACAATTCCCTTTTCCCACTGCTGCTGTAACTTCAAACAGTCACTAAGCGAACGGTCGTAAGTTGAGGACTACCTGTACTTATGTTATCCTGGAGGAGGGGAACTTTTGCATTGATTCCAAAACCAGTAACAGGACTTCTGAAAAGCTGGACGAAGCAGCGTCTCCTTTTAACTTTCGGGACACGGTTGCTCGGTTCCGGAAGAGGGTTCAAGGAAAGGGGTCCTTCCGACGTTGTGTGAGACAACCGTCTCTTTCTGGGGACCAGCAGCTGCATTAATAGCGGCAGCACATAGACTTATATGCCGCTTCGCGGTGCTTTACAGCCCCTTCTAAGCGATTGACAGAGTCAGCCTGTTGCCCCAACAATCTGGGTCCTCATTTTACCGACCTCGGAAGGCTGAGTTCATTTTGAGCCGGTTGGGATCGAACTTCCTGGCTGTGGGCAGAGTCAGTTTGCAACGCTGCATTCTAACCACGGCCAGCTTGTTTCTCAAAAAGAAAGAACCAAACCCCATTGGAGCATCCGCTGGGTTTGCAGCCGCGTCAGGCTCTCCAAAGCTCCAGAGGGCCACGGAGGAGGTGGCGCCCGATCGGGGGTCCCAAGGGTACGGACAGAACATCGAGAGGGTACGAGCGGGACTCCGCCGATGCCCATCAGACACAAATGGAGCGCCAGCCATGCCTCCGTGGCCGCCTTTTTTCTTTCTTTTTTTTTTAAACAATACCCTGCTGGGCCCCCGTATTGGTCGAGTTACCCCCGAGCCTTCCCCCCTCTTTTGAACTCAGCTCCGGGCAGTTCGGAGGTTCTGAAGAGAACGCTGACTGCTCGCTCAGTCGGTGTTGATGGCTTCTCTCTCTCTCTCTTTCTCTTTCTCTTTTCTCTCTCGCTCTCCTTTTCTCCCTTTCTCTCCATGCTCTCTGTCTCTCTGACTTTCTCTTCCCCCCCCTTCCCCAACCAGGGGACACTCCACAGAAAATGAGAGCCGCACAGCACCCTACTCCAGCAGAGTTGGACGCGTATGCTAAGAAGGTAGCCAACCACCCTCTGACCATCAAAATTTTCCCCAACAGCATCAAGGTCCCTCAGCGGAAACACGTGCGCCGTACTGTGAACGGGCTGGACACTTCTGGGCAGAGGTACAGCCCTTACCCGCCGTCGCAGGCATCCGTGAAAACAGGCCTCCTGGCCATCGTCCGGTCCCCGGCCAAAGGGGTCATCAAGGACTTTGACGGGAAGCGGACCCGCCTGCTGCCGGAAGCCATGATGAACCCCCCCTCGGTCCCCTACGCGGCACCTAGCACTTTAACCCACCCCCAGGCGCTGGCTCGCCAGCAGGCCCTCCAGCAGCTCCACTCTCAGGGCGTCCCCCCCGCCCTGCAGCCGCCACAGAACGTGGCCCACCCCGGCCTGCAGCAGCAGCAGCTGCCGCCGCAGCACCCCGCCAACCACTTGCAGCAGCCTCCGCAGCCCCCGCCGCTGGCGGGCATGCACCTGGGCAGGAAGATGGCCGACGCCGACGCCCCTCCGAATGTGACCGTCTCTACCTCAACCATCCCGCTCTCCATGGCTGCCACGCTGCAGCAGAGCCAGCCCCCGGACCTGAGCAGCATCGTGCACCAGATCAGCCAGTTCTGCCAGGCGCGCACGGGCGCCAGCGCTACCTCAGTCTGCGAGGGACAGATCGCCAACCCCAGCCCCATCAGCCGCAACCTCCTGATCAGCGCCAGCACCCGGGTGTCCGCGCACAACATCCCCACGCCCCTGCCTTCCTGCGGCATGGTCAACCCTGGCGACCACGCCGCGCCGGTCCCGCCCTCCGCCATGGGGGTGCCGCTGGGCAGCGTGGCCCGTGGCCCTCCTGCCTACCAAAGCGACATGAAGCAGGTGGCCGCGGCCTGGAACCAGCACCAGCTGGCTCACCTACAGCAGATGTGCGGCGAGGCCATCGGACCCTCGGCCCCCATGGGGAAGCCCCCCGGGCGAGAGCTCCCCGGGCAGGGCTTACCCGGCAAAGGGTCGGGCTACGCCCTGGAGCTGTGCATGGCCCAGCCGTTCGGCACGAAGGCTGCCCTGGAGAAGCCCGCCCCCTCGCCCCCCATCAACGGCCTGCCTGGCCCGCCCCCCTTCACCAACGGGCACTACTTCCAGCCCCCGCTGTGGAATAACATTCTGCCCACGCCCAACAGCGACAGCTCGGGCTCCCAGGACCTGGCCCTGCCGTTCCACGGGGGCGGCGGCGGAGGAGGAGGAGCAGGCGGACTGCAGACGATGGGGGCAGCTGCCCTGGAGTGCACGGCTGGCCCCCACTGCCGAGCCGGGGCAGGGCCCCCCGGCCCGGGCAGCGTGATGCCACCGATGGAGTACCCGGACTTCCACCGGTCCTGCCTCCGCGAGCCGGGCGGGGCCCCGCTGAGCAAAGCCGCCCGCACGTCGGTGAACCGAGGCCGGGGGCCCGGCGAGAGCTGCGCCCTTCACCTCCAGCACCCCGGGTACAGATGAGGAGGGCGGCGG